ATATGGTGAGCGATCGTAGCCCAGTAAGCCATGCCACGCAATTATATATACCTAACTCTAAATATTATACATATATATATATCTAGCAAAAGTGTAAGATCTTAAGCAAACAATGTAAACAGTGTAAGTAATGAAGGTAAGCAATATAAATAATAATCTAAGTTTACAAAATTGACTTACAAATAAATGGACGACGGGTCTAATACAAAAAAACCACGAAAAAAATGTCCTGTCCAAAAACGTTGAATTTAAATTGTAATGTCATCGCAGTACTGTCTAATTTTGCTTGCTTCGCTGTCTGTCGAACAAACGAAGACTAAAACGTGAATGACGCCCTGTATACGATTTTAACGCCCTATAAGTTCGGACACTTTTTAGCGCGGACCCGACGTCCATATAATTGTAAGTCAATTGTTTACAAACATAATATTAAATTATAACAATAGGCACCAAATATGAGTATGTATAGACACGGAAATTTAGATTTACAGGTAACAAACGCATTGATTAGGGAAATATCTATGTAGCGAGACACATCTAATCGGACAAATTTTTTTTATTTATTCACGCTTAAATGGTTTTTTTATTATTATTATATATTTATATCGCGCGCGATTGCTCGTGTTCGTTTTTATTACAACGGAAAGAGCGTCTGTGGTAAAGGTAACCTTGGAACGCACGATTGCACGCGGTACTGATAAGTGAAATCCCGCAGTCTTTCTCTTTTTCCCTGTATCACGCGCGATAGTGTTTGTGTAAAGCCCTCTATTGGCACCAAATCTTTTTTCTTTGAAAAATGTCAATTACGCTTACTTTACTTAACCGTAAAAGTGGAAATAATTAAGATATATGAAAACCGCTTATGATGGTTGTAAATCTTGTTTCGCTGATTCCAGACGTGTTAATAACTTAATATCGTTAAAAATGTTGATTACGTTACTTATGACAAGGAGGGCAGAATAGGCCGCAACTGGAGTTGCACAAGTGTTAAAATTCTTTGTTCATAATTGTACATCACATATCGTTCAAATTAGTTGCTTAAAAAGTGAGAGCATAACTAAATGTGTGGCTCAGTGTACTTATTATTTCACGGCATTTTTTAATTTAAGATACATTTTTATTACTGTATAGGGGTCTGTATAATTCGCAATACAAAATAGCGAAGTATATTACATGGTCACTGAACGATTGTCATTGTAAACTCATCTTAAAGACAACGGGACCGGCACCGTGAGTTAAGGTTCTTTTCCACTGGCGACGCGAGACGAGGCGAATCGAGACGACAATAGAAATCACGTTCACCAAAAATTGTCGATTAATATTAACCATATCGCAATCTTGCGCCGAGGTTTGGGACAGTAAAATAAAAGTATTGGAATACCAATAGAGTAAATTATTTGCAGAAAAGTCATCTTTTTTTAATCTTAAATTGTACTTACAATTCCCACAATCTCGCGATCGGTATTAATAGCCATCACGAGCTTGCAAAGGCCCGCGCTTGATCCCATTGCTATATTAATAAACACTATATGTTTTTAAGCTATACAGTCCAATGTTACACCAACTCAATCAATTCAAATTTCCACCAAAGATGCGCTATGAGAGAATTGATATTTTGCCACAGAAATTTCAATGTGGAAAAGCACCTTAAGGCGAATTGTACAGCGCCCCAAGCGGTAATGAGAGGAACTAAAATTTGTCTTACAAAGGTTTTACGCGGGCGCCAAAAATATCAACTAGAGACATTATTGCCCGATGGTAGGCAGAACGCTGCTCCACACTGAAGGACGAAAGGGTGTTTGAATAACTATTTAATTGTAATTTTGAACACGTACATAATGGAAAGGTATAATTTATTCAATATAGACTTAATTTTTAACTACTGCATTAATGTACTATGGGTACTTAGGCCCTATTCACATGGCGCAGCTGCGGCGCTAGGTATGATAGACAATGAATGACCGCCATATTATGCCACACTTGCTTCATTATTAGGTCACATGACATAAGAAAGATTGCGGCCATACAAACACGTATTTTGTATTCAGCCGTGGTGGTAGGTGACGGTCAGTAAAACCTAATATTACATGCAGTCTGGCCGACCATTAAGCCAACCATTGGTCATAAGCAGTGATTGGAGTAGGTAGAGTTTTTACCTAAAGTTCGAGGAACAGACCGAAAGTGGAAACTACCTCATGACAACATTTTTTGTCCTGGATCTTTTCGGAATTCCTGTAATCACTTAAGTAGGTTAAAAATCAACGTTATTTGGGATAGGTAGCAGAAGAGCTTTTTGTGAAAGTCCGTCGACCAGGGAAGAACTGCCACCTTAGGTACATATTTCTGCCGCCATGCAGTAAAATTAGAATTACTGTGTAATGTTTCGGTTTTGAAGGGCAAGGGTGCTGGTGAAATTACAGACACATGGGACTTGTCAACTTCTGCGTGACACTGCGCCTAAATATACTATATTTATTTAAACTTTGCAAACACCAATTTTTCGGAATATTTAGGAAAAATTCCATAAAAATAATGATTTCTTTTACTATTTTTTTCCAAAAACTATAGCTACATTTTATGAAAGACTATCTCCCGCCAACCTGTAAACAGGCACTAATACATGTAATTAAAATTATTGAGATAAGTATTTCAAACATTCTCATGATTTATGGACATTCCTCCGGGATCCTAAAACATCACTTTCAGGTTTGTGTTCCGTCGAAGATTAGATAAAATAACTCTACATATTCTGATCACTGGTTATGAGAGACGTGACCCAAATTAACTATTATTGTTTGTATTTTGTAAATGTCGTTCCGCCTAGTGCGAATTGACCTCAAAAATTTGCGTTTGTTTCACATCACATGGAATATCACCGCCACCGCGGCTGTTAACAATAGCTTACGTTCGTAAATTTTACGTACAAATAAATGTAGGTACTCAAAGAACAATACATTTGTGACGTAACCTAAACATAATGGACGTTCAAAAGCGCATTAGAACGAAACTGTTAAATTGTCACACTTTTACATTTTTTGTCGCAAATCAATTCGGATACATGATCTTTCTCACGTAAATGAGCTTTTTTTTTAAAGGTGTACGATTTGTATACAATACAAAATCGTACTATGCTAACCGTTCTATGTGCAGAAAACCGTCCATTAATGTTACTTACTTAAATTATTATTAAATATAATTAGTGCAACTATCCAATTTCATTGGTTCTTCATATACCAAAACCTAGCTATATTATCGGCTTAGTGTATAAACTTATGTAAAACCAGTAAGAGGTCAGGCTGTGCCTGATCTAAAGGGTTTTCCTATAAGAACACAACAATTTTGTATGTCAATAAAACAAATAATAATTGAGATATCGAATTGAAATTTATGCAATTCGATCTCGTTCAGATGACCACCTGGAGCACGTTTGCAGCGGTCACACAGCTGGTCAAACAATCGATCTATTGAAAAGGAAGGACGATAATCGTGTAACTTCGCGTAACGGTCCTGTCGTATGGCCACCTTGCTCAAGCGATCTAACGTCGTTGGATCACTTTTTATGGGGTTACATTAAGTCGTTGTTTTATGCCAACAAGGCAACAACGATAAATGAGCTCAGAACAATATCAAACGCGAAATTGCCTACGTTTCGGTGGATATGTGTGAAAAATTGGCTCCAAAGTATTGGACGCTGCAAACGTTCTCGTGTTGCTCATATAACCGAGATCGAATTCCATTCTTAAATGTGACTTGTGTACTGCACGTGTAAATTTTATCTCGATATCTTAATTGTTCTGTGTTTTATTGAAATACAAAATTATATGTCTCTATAGAGAAATCCGATAAATGAATATACCTAAGGATGCAAAGTCTTGGAGGCCGCGACGAGAATTAGGTCGAGCTGTCAATCTTCACCCGTTTTACAGCGTTTTCATTTATTTATTTAATTGTTTATAGCACAGTAAAAAATCAAATCACAAATAATAAAAGGAAAACACAAATAAAAGGTACTGCATATTTCTTAAAGAAATTTCTTCCTGCAGTCCTAAATACTGGGACACAATTACAACAGTTATATGATACGAAAACAATATCAATAGCATTAAATAAAACTATATAAATACTTACATAAATACATATTTCATATTACAATACCTAAGATATGGATGGAATAATGTTGTTTCATGTGTGTAAGCGACACCTAAATGTATTGTAGGTCACAGAAATCACACTATAAGAACACCATCTACAGACTGGATTTTTCCCACAAGTTCGACCAAGTCGTAGTGTAGTCGATAGTGGCCTCACTTTTCCACGGTAACTGCCCTCAGTGTGTGAAGTTCGCTATATTCGATACACGCGATAGAAAAATGGCGTCAAGCCAATTGACACTGATAAGGGCTTATAAATAAAACAAGATCTTGATAAAGTAAAATACTTATACCATCATAATACCAAAATTCGTCCATTCTATAATAGTATATTCCAGATGTAGAAATGTGGTTCTAATGCGGATAAATAGAGTAAATGAGAATGTGATATTACTATAGAAGGTCGTCACCGCCTCCGCGACTTTCTGCACGATAAGTACTTAAACTATTATTAACCTTTTAAATAATAGTAACCTATTCAGTAATGATAACCTTTTAAATATAATTTAATTTAAAACTAATTTAGCTACTAATACAAATACAGACTTCTCGTTTACGTACCACATACTCGTAAGCTCTGACAACAGCTTTTAATATTAAATTTGTGACTAGATAGGAATGAACCTAATTTTACTAGCAAAGCTTTTACAAAATTGGTCTATGAAACCGTATAAGATACTTACCTAAATACAATATATGATAGTGAAAATTTAACATAATATAGCGATAAGCACGTCGAAAAAAGAAATTGCTAATAGAACTAGACATTCGTACAAAACGATGTAAATTTTTGAAATCTTTTCTACGAGAAAGCCTGTACCTTCATTCGTTAGAGGCTCAGAACATTGTTTAGCCACCCTTATTAAAAGAAGGTATTGTTCGTAATTTTTTGCGTATCCTTGGTGAGCTCCAGCAAGGTACCAGCCTGGTATCCCCGGGAGAGACACCTTCATCCACGTCATCAGCTTCGGTTTTTATCTCCATTTTCTGAAAAGCATTTTACGTAAATTTTACTTTTATAATGTCCTAAAATGCTTCTAAAATCCTACTTAAGGACAAAACTTTCCCAAGGTGATTATAGATTCAATTTAGGAACTATAAACATATAGGAAGACTGCTGTCGGGTACGAATGTTTATGGACTGATAAATCTACGACAAATGCAGATTTCAGAATCAGAATAGAAGGCACCTAAAACGTCTTCCTTCCAGGGAATCACACTTAGAACCTAGAGCAATTTATTGTGAAAGTGGATTTTTGGCTGAATAGGAATACATTACAGTGCTTATTATTTCTTGCCTTTTGCAATTCTGAATTCACGCACTTCTTTAACGCGCACTAAAGCATCACATTGATGGATCCCTGGATAACGGGTTAAAACAGAACCAATGCAGTGCTTTTGGAAGCCATTCCGGGCCTTGGATATGTATTAAACTTTTATCTTTTTGCTATTCAGAATACACTTCTTAAATAAACACTGAAGCATCACAGTAATGAGACCCTGGATAACGGGTTGAAATAGAACCAATGCAGCTTTTGGAAGCAATTCCGGGCCTTTGAGTTCATTTAAACTTACCTGAACGATAAGCCTAATCAGCGTATGTTGCTGTTCAAGGAGAGAAGACATCTCCCGTAGCCGTCGCTTCTGCTTGTCCAACTCAGCCGTTATGTAATCTTCACTGCTTTCCAGCACCAAGTCTAAGCCAGCTGTAGTGACAGGAATGTTAAATGTCATTTTAAGCGAACACTATTTAAACAAGCGTTGATGGTACATAAAAACAAAAACCATCCTTTAAATGCTCGCATGACAGTGTAGTATGCCTTAGTAGTTATTTGATGCCTTAGGCATAAAGAAAAGGTAAGGCTCGGTCGACATAATTTATTTAAAAGTAGTAATGAAAAGGCCCAAAAGGGTCTATCTATACGATTTAACAATAAATTACGTGAAGTTGGAGTTTACATGAGGATGGTTCATGAGGATGTCCTCTCGTTTTGAAAATTTTGGACGGGACTCATGACGGAACGAACTAAGGTAGTAATAGTGGAAGGATTTGGAATTCACAGGGAATTCGAAGATCGAAGAAGGTTGAAGATTTTAAAAGTAATTGGCCAGGAACCAGTAAAGAGGGGTGACAAAAAGGTGGGATGACGATGATGGAGGTTAGCATCGTCACACCAATATATTAAGACTAAACAAATATATTCTTTATTGCACCAAACAAGCACAACAGAAATATTAGATTAACAGAAAGTGAGCAAAGGTGGACTTATCTCTAAAAGAGATCCTTTCATCCAACCCAGGACAGAGAGAGCTAAGGTTACAAGCGGGTAATAGCATGCTAGAGAGAGTGCGGAAGAAATATAATAAACTACATAAATAAAAAATACCATCACTTACATAAGTATTATAATTAATCATAATACATAGCATAAATATGTAAATAGTTTAATATATACATGAGAGTTCAGCAAGAAAGTGCGTATTCAACCTTTTTTTGAAAGAAGCGAAAGACGGGCTAGACTGGATTTGGGAAGGGAGTCTGTTCCACAAGATTAATCCACAAAATTGTGGTGGAAGGGTGAGATACGCCCTTCCAAAAGATATACTCACCATCATCAGTGAAAGGATTGCAGAACCACTTGCGTAAGATCAGGTCGAGAAATCCAAGCTTGCAGTGGCCGTTGTTAGGGTACTCGATAAGTTCGTTCTTGTCCACCTTTTCCAGAAGTATAGCAGGCAGCTTTCGTTCCAGCTCCGTATGAAGTACCACCTTAACATTTTCAAAGCATGTTACTAATTAAGTGATCAGAAAGTTAGTTTAAATGATGAGTAGTATAAATTAGAAAATAAAGCATAAGTGTACTGTAATGCTGGATAACGAAGTGTCAGTAGAAGGCGGGAGGTGGTCATGGTTTAAGAATTTGAGGGAATGGTTCAGCTGTAGTACTGAAATAAAGTAAAATATGTGTAAGATCGTTTCTCAAAAGAATACAAATTCACTTAGCGAGAAATACAAGAAATCATAAAATGTCTCGAGAGAGTACGTGTTGACAAAATATTCAAATTAAGATATACACATAAAATATGGTGTTCTTGTATAAAAAAAACAAAAACAAGGCCATAGTCGAGTATTACATATCAACTAAATCGTGACACGTAATAGCAAATTTAGAGCGGCAGCCTCTAGGGTCAGGAACTCAAAGAAAAAGAAGAAGCGCCGTGACGCTGGAGATAGATGGTTAAGTGAATAAAAAAAAAAGTTTTTTTTTTAAAGTATAAATAATATTTCGTCAGTGTTTTGTACAAAAAAACAAAAGTGAATTTTAAAACAGGACGTAAATATTTTAAAGCAGTCGTCAAAACCTAAAACATGCTCATCAGAAAAAAATTTCGAAAAGACGCTTTCGCCATTTCTACAAAACACCGACAATTTGTACTTTGACTTGGCGTACACACAATTGAATTAAGCATTGAAAGTATCACCTGCATCGCTAGCCGTTTCAGCTGTGCGTTCCTCCTCACGCTCTCGATGTCCCCAACAGCCAAACCGATAAGCAAGTTCATCAGCAAGATTGGCATTAGCACCATGAAAATCCCGAGTATAAAGAACGTCGGCATCGGGAAAGGCAAAATAATGTCAGTCTCAGATTTATAGTATGGATGTACGTAAGTTCCAACAAAATCTATTTCTCCCAGCATCATAGCGAACGTTCGCATAATGGACATCGGTATGCTGTTAAACGACAAATGTTGACCCTAGAAAGAGAAGTGAGTTAGTAAAAATATTACATACCTACGCTTAGTCAGCTCTTTGTGATAACACGTAACATAGCACAAAACAGCGAAAAGTAAGGCTAGCACAAAGGGCGCGACTTGCGCGAGAGTGACATAAAGCGCGAGATACTGCTATTCTCGCTTAAAGTAAGAGTCGAGCTAGCCTTACAAGAGCACTTAATTGATTCTGTTGGAAGTTTTAGAGAAAGCTATTCTCTTTGAAACAAAAACTAACAATTAATTCGCTACGCCGCCTTTAGTCGCATTCGCTTTGCGTTCATGTTAAGAATTTTTAGTAAAATTAGCCAATTTAGTTTAATGGTAGCCAAAAGCAGTTTGCTTTTTTCATGACGTCATGAACGCAAGCAATCGAAGTTTACTATACTACTACACATACTTTCACGCTCGTTATCTGCTTCGGAAGCGAATAGATCTAGTAAAAACTGGTGAAGTAGACACAGAATTTTGCAATAAGCAAGATTTAGTTATTCTAGAAGTTTACAAATTTCGAACAAGCGTGATAGTACGAAAAAACAACACTACAAGCGTTTGTTGAGTAATGTACAACATAAACATCGCTATGAATATATATAACCAAGCACATGCATTATTAATACCACATGTACCCACGCAAATTGAATCACTGATGCTGGTTAACTTTCGAACGACGTATTTTTTAACTTACGTTGTATAATATAGGTAATACCCGTGTTTAGATTTTAACAAACCGTCGGTGCATTCATCTGTCTAATAAATGGTAAAAAGCATACATAATAAGTATGTTAGGTGTGTTGCTTTTTAACCTCTGGTTAGCAGTTGTGAGACTTGTTGTACTCTTGTTGCGTACAACAACTCTCACAATATAGTTATTGTACTCAACAGGAGTACAGCAACTCACTTAGTTATTGGGCTCTATAAGAGTACAACATCTCAATTAGTTATTGTGCTCAATATGAGTGCAATAACCCATTTAGTTATTGTGCTCAATATGAGTACAACAACTCATTTAGTTATTGTGCTCAACAAGAGTACAATAACTCGTTAAGTTGTTGTGCTTAACAAGAGTACAACAACTCAGTAAGTATTAAAACCGTTTTAAAATATTATGTGCGGTTAGACAACGTTTTGTTCTCAGTGGCATTGTAACGCATGTCGGGTAAAAGAATGTATTTAAAAAAATATCAGCATCGAAGGTTTTAAGATTTCCAGTGACCAGAAAATATCATTATTATACTTATGTGTTGTCATTGCAAAACGCACTTTAGAGAGCAGAATATAAAATGCGTATCCAAACGCTATGATGAGGATTGAGAAGACCATCAACACTTTGATCAACGTCTGTAAGATTTCCAAGAACATCACTACGTAGATTCCCACTTGGTCAAACCGCTGAAGCAGCAGCAGTAGTTCGAACCACGACAGGAACACCGTTATGGAAGCCGCTGAGAACTGAAAAAAGGTCCACATTTTAAACATGCTAGGTCGCAGGTCCACTTACTGTGTATCAAAATAACGCTCCTTAGAGCATATTATTGCGTTTTGTTCGGCACAAATGCGCTATCAGCTAGCATTCGCACAATATTAACGACTTCTGGGCGCTGTTATGGCTGCGACAGTGCTGCAGTACATCCACTATGTTTGTCAAAGATCGAGTGGACAGCTTCAATGCCGTGTTACAGAAAAAGATAGCATCAAAAAGAAGTGAGTGCCCAATAATGAGCAACACTTAATTTAACAATACATTGCTCATTGAAAAATATATAGTAGCCGTAAGTGGATTACTAACAAACTGTACATCAAAATTTTTTTTTATACTATCAACTGACGGGACGAATAAGTGGTGCGTCTGATGGTAAGCTACACGCCTGTCCATAACAGTTGCAGTGCTACTCAGAGCTTTAAATCTCAAAGATCTGAAGAGCATTGCCACTGCGCCCGTTACCCTGAGACAGAAGTTGAGAAGTCCCATGTGCCTGTAATTTCACCAGTACCCTTACCCTTTAAAACCGGAACACAGTAATGCTGACATTACTGCTTGGCGGCAGAAATAAGTAAGGTGGCAATAATTCCCTGGACGAACTCTTTCACAAGGAGCTCTACTGCTACTTATGTGTCCGAATAAATAAATTTAATTTTGACTATTATTTTGAAGCATTAACTTGATTCAATATCTCGAAGTTTTACTACCATGATATTAAATTATTTTTGTAAAATTACTAGAAACTAGTTTGTTATAATTATTAATACAAAGATCGGACACAAAGAAAAATCCCTTCAATTCGGCTAGATTCAAACCAGTGATGTCGGCATACCGTACAAGTCGAACAAAGCCTTCGGCAATGCTAAGTCTTCATTGTTTTCGTCTAAACTACTGTTCTTTTGTTTTAATTAATTTATTATTTTATTTATTATTAATTAATTGAGACAACTGAGATCCAATCAAATGTTAGTAGGTACAGACTTAAAACTATATTAGTAGGTACTTATATTTTACCAGGGACTTTCTATTATTTATTAAGTGCCGCATAATTGGGCACTCATTCCTGTCAGCAACTGTCTTCAGGAGGCTATCGGGGCTGTCGCGTATTCTCTTCAGTATCGACGCCGACTTTTAACGTATAACAGCCGTGAAACTATCTAAGCGCGCGCCAGTGAACATGGCTGAGGCACTGCAGAAACGTGGCAGCCCCAATAGCGTCCTGAAGGCGTTTTTGTATTGCACGCACAGAGCATTCCGAGAGCTCTGAGTGTAGCTCTTCCACAGAGCGCTAGCATACATTGGTGTGCAGTAAGCTCTAAAGTTTAGATGTTTAGGCTAAACAATGTTATCTTAACTGCAGCCGTACATCTGGCGAACCTGCGGGCAAGCATGTTTGCTCTCACCGAGAGTGCTCTCCGTTCGCGCTGTATATACAGGTCATCCTTGAGGTCGTCAGTAACATAGTATCCCAAGTATTTAAAGTGGCTAACCCTTTTTAATGGAGAACCATTAAGTAGCACAGGAAGTGCACACGTAGGACTCTTCCTACCGGCGGCTCCAAAGATCATAAACTTCGACATTTTAATATTATATAACAAGCCGTGGGATGTCACATATGACTCACACACTCCAATTAGTTTTCTCCATTGACTTACAATTATATGGACGTCGGGTCCGCGCTAAAAAGTGTCCGAACTTATAGGGCGTTAAAATCGTATACAGAGCGTCATTCACGCTTTAGTCTTCGTTTGTTCGACTGACAGCGAAGCAAGCAAAATTAGACAGTACTGCGATGACATTACAATTTAAATTCAACGTTTTAGCTTTTTCATATTCCTTTACATGTCACTACGTTTAAATAGGTTGACTTGGGACATTTTTTTCGTGGTTTTTGTATTAGACCCGTCGTCCATTTATTTGTAAGTCAATGGTTTTCTCAATGTTAATTGTTCGCTTATATTTGTTTAAGTGTTTTGGGCATAAATAAATGTCATTATATTTATTTAAAGTCGTTAAAACAGAACAAAAAAAAGATCTGCAACAAGCACATAGAGATATTCGTAAGGTCTGATGGTTCGTTCCGTAGCTCTGTTAGAAGAGCGTTAGACACGGTAAGGTGAGGTCACTGGTTCGCGTCCATACGAATCGAAGGAATATTTCTTTGTGTCCGATCTTTGTATTAGTAATTATAATTTAAAGTTACTTATAACTTTATAATACTACTATTGGTCACTCGGGGCCTTTACGCTGTAACATTATTTACTGTCGTTGCTGTTATAAGTATGTTTATACCTACCTACATCTAATTATTTTATACTCTTAAACACACAGCTAACGGTATCCTATTTCCAACCAATGTTTGATTTAAAAAAGACACTATTGCATTTTTTTATCGTTTGTAATGTAGATAACCTAATGCGTTTCTTCTTAGCTACAATAATCGCTAAAGTCATACTTAGGGACATCGAGTACGGACCAGACGAAATACGGGCCATCTATATCTGGCAATTCTTCAGGCAAATGAGCCTTATATCACTTTTAAATATCAACTCGCGTTTGCGCTGATATCATAAATTAGAAAGCTGAAATAGTACAGCGCCAACAACTGACCTGTGTGTACGTATCCGTATATTCCAAAAATATTCTGTATTTGTTGTAATAAAGATAATATCTCTAATAAAGGGGGGCTGGCCGATTCAGTGGTGTGGGAAAAACAGCAAAACATTTAATTACAAAACAAACGGAACCCCATTTCATCGGTAATTAAACATTAAACACGTAATTTTTAAATTTTCGTCCGTTATAGCTAAGCTCAATTTAAACTGGTCTATTTGAAGTAAAACAATTGACGACACCCGTCAATTGTTTCGAATTCGGGCTGGCCAATCGGAGCGCAGTTGTCATCATAATGATTTGGTTGAATAATTTTCAAACAAATTAATCTCTATTTCTGGTTATATACTCGATGCTTAGGGACCACTTTTGTAACTTAAATAACGATATACCTGAAGATCCACACAACTACGCATTAGCGTCGGGAACACCATGAGGCTAGAACAGATGTACAGCATCCAAGAGACCAGATTTGATGGGTCCACCACATAGTGCCACTTTTGTTGCTTCACGTTATATGCTTCGCGAATCATGCACAGGGAGTTGTAGACCAGTATAGCTACTGTACTTGTGTACATTCCCACTAATTCTAAGTCTGAAAAAAAAAGAAGAATTTGGATTAGAAAAACATATTTTAAAGGCGAAGCAGACGAAGGCATTACGGACCGCTTTAATGAGCACTTTGTCTAGACATGACTTAAAACTTGTCAGCCGAATGTTCGTAAATGTGGGCTATGGATGATTCTTCAAGTACAAGTTACCTTTATCGTGTATTACAATTTTAATGAGAGAAATTCTTACCCGTATTATAATTTGTAGCTGTAATTTTGTCTTGCGTATTGTTCTCTACTTTTTCCAAAGAGTCGTTGATTGACGGGTTTATAAAAAGACATTTCTCCGTTTGTTTCTTCGTCAATGATAAAGCAGGTTTTGTAGTAGACATTAGTAAGTATGTATAAACTGTCACAAACGTCAGGAATATGCAGTAAAATAGAAGTTTCGCTAAATGAAAATATTTCCCATAGGAGTTCCATTTCATTTGAAGGTATTTTTGACTGAGTGGATGTGCCAGGAGTTCTACCCTTCCATGTGCCACCATCGCCTGGAAAATGGAGTTTTAGGATAGTATTAAACGTACCTACATTCTCGTGAATGGTTTGACAAAAAATGTATCCTATAAAGCCTTACATTTCAACATAATAAGTGCACGTCGACCGTTTTTGTTGATTTGGATGAACAAAAAATTTGTTTCGATAAGATAAGATAAACCACAAAAGTACAACCACCTAGGTGACAATTATTTCGTACTATACAGGACGTCACACGGGTGTACCCTTAAATACCGTAGATAGAACATTTTACTGATACAAGACTTCATTTTTATTTTAAAAGAAGTTCGATCTGCATTCAAAGATATTTAAATAATAGTCTGTCTCAACCGGGAATCGAACCCGCCAAATGTAAAAAAAGAAACACCTGTAATTTTACTACATTGATCGAAAGCCTCAGTCACAAGGATTGTTTTCTTCTAATTAACATATCATCTTAAATAAAAGGAAGACCATGAAATTTCACATGTAATTTGAAATTTTGTTGAAATGCCTTTTCTCCGACTTCAATCATTTCAAATTACTAAAGAGTACAAATTTTCAACTTATTTTAAACATTCACCATGAAAAGATATATAAATCGGCAGCAAGCAAAATTATAAAAAGAATGGGCATTTGTATACTACAGAATGGCACACATTTTGAGCATTTGATAACTTAAATGGATTGTAAGTCGCAGATAAATGTACCTAATTATTTTAATTAAACGTTAAATTTCATGGCCTTTCTTTTATTTAAGATGCTATGTTATTTATAAGAAAAAAATCTTTACGATATAGTAAAATTCCAGGGTTTTTTTTCACATTTGGCGGGTTCGATTTCCGGTTCAGGCAGGTGATTATTTAAAAATCTTTGAATGCAGTTCGAATTGTTTTTTTAAAGCAAAATGAAGTCTTCTTTTAGTTAAGTGTTCTATCTACGATATTTAAGGTACTTTCCCTCCGTGTAGCATAGCCATGGGACACCCTGTAAACTTGTGTGCAGTGACGAAATTTCAATTGTCCTATTTACAGAGTGACAGTGCTAAATTTGAGTCCACATTTATATAACAATAACAGTACAGGTAATACAGAGTGATTATGTGCCAGCAACCAGTTGAACAAAATACTCCAAACCACAAATAAAATATGTACTGGCAAGATCATATGTTATTAAAGATGTTAGTGATGTAAAAGTAGATATATGAAAAGTGTTACGAAGCTAGTAAAGCGTTGAGTGCTTCTATGTCTGCCGCTGACCCTTTGCCAGGGAGTAACATTAGTTTCGATCTTGCACAGCAGTGTCATATCGCCATACTGAATGAATGAATGAATGAATGAATCGGAGAAAATCGACTTTTTCTACATTGTATTTTCGCACCTTCAAAAATAAACATTTTTGTAGATGTGAAAGCTTATTTATACGTATTTCTGACTAATAGATTTATTGAAATACCTAATTATCCACAAATTGTATCATTATATTCATTTTGTGAGATACGGCTATTTTGATTATAAAGAAAGTTTAAAAAAAATTGAGATACAAAAATACTTCTAAGTGGTTTTTTAAATGTTTTAAGTTAGATAGCGCTATTTCTATTATACCATTAGATGTGGCATTATTACAGCTATTGAATGGTGTGTAAAAAGGGCGTATCTCAGAGATAGCGCTTTTCGGGTTAGCAGGGCAGCGGAGCAAACAGACAAGTTAAAATATTCTAAGGTGTAGCGTAGCACAATTGGGTGCATTGTCCACTCACGTTGGTCACACACAACGGTTTGGGTCGGTATTTTGGATCGTTGAGCGCCAGTCTCAGAGCTTTAACTTCGTCTTGCGAGTGTTGGTAGTATTTGAAAGAATACTTAATCTGCGATAATACGAAACGAGTTAGAAATATCAACATTTAAACAACTTACATTGAGGGCAGGCAGAGGAATTTTCTGCGATTTCGGAACGCTTTCTGTCTTTCTGTTGCCGTCATCGTCTTTGAATTGAGGACAGAGGGCGTCGAAGTTGTATTTGATCTAAATTCCGCACAGTGTCAAGTGTACACAAAAAATAAATCGATTTTTAGTTAATTATCTCATAATAGATTTCATGTACTGGATTATAAAAGTAAAAATATATCATCAATTAAAGAGCAGTATATTATGGCAACCCAAAAAGAGACTTACATAGAAGCTCTTAGAGTCCTTTTTGCAGTTCGCCTTGGTGATGCATTTGTCTTGGACGGCTTCGAAGACTCTGGGCATATACGCTATCAGCGCAAGAGTCACGCACGGATGTCGATCGGAACGGAGTGCCATCACCTCCATGGCCCTGAAAATGTTTATGATACGGCGAAAATAAAATGAAGGGGACATTTAATTACTTGAAAAACCCAACACTAAACGCATAATATTAGGGGTTAAAGTATGAAATTGCCGTTTTATTGCAATAGGTTCTTTGAATTTTCATAG